TAGACCGAACTCCTTTTAACATTTACAGAGACCCAACAGTACCACCATTTGATCTGTCAAAAGTTTTTGTAGTGATTGAAGGTATTCAGAAACATGATCATGGTGTGTGCTGCTGTACAGTAGTCTGTTAGTGCTACACAGTCAGGTCATCATTTTAACCTGAATAATAAAATGTCAGCGATATCAGCCGCTCATCCTGGAAGCCTAATTCACCATTATGACACCAATGGTCCAGGAGATGGCGACATCCGTCCGCTCACAGTTTATATTCACTCTGCAGGTATAAATATATAATATATATACTGTCAGTGGTATAAAGCCACCCACAAATAACAACGCCAAGCCTCAATATTTTATTTTATACATTTTAGTTTTTAGTTAGCAAATTGGATTTTCTTCATTATCACAATAACAAAGTGTTTGCACATTTAAATGTAACCAAATAAAAATGAATACACCCTTATTATCATTATTAATCATTAAAGTAAAATAAATTAGCTCATGTAAGTGTCTTATTTTAACAACAAAAATAGTACTGTTGCCTACTACAGAGATATACATAATGGTTAGTGGCTGTGGATTATAATAAAATTCATATTCAATTTCATAATAAAATGATTCAAGAAAAATATACAGATCGTATTAGAGTATATTCTAGTATGATATATTAATTTAAAAAAGTCCTGCTGAGGGCTCTGGCTCATTCTTTCACAACAACATTGATGAAGCTCTTGATGTTCTTCAGTTTGTCGCTATCAAAGTTCACCAGCAGCACGCTGGAACCAACACTGGTGGGAGTGAACTTAACGCTGGCCTTGGCTTCCTGTTTGGGGCCCACATCTTCAATCCTGCAAGAATCATACACACAATACACAAAGAGCATCATCAGCCAGAAAATGTGCTTATCTTGTCTTAGCTTCTTTTTCTGCTTATCTCTATTCTTATGTGTGCAGCTTTCAGTGGGTATGGCTGCACTATACATCCCATATTATTTTTTTTAGGTATTCTTATTATAATTGTGATTATCACTGTAAATCACAGAACAGAACTTAGTAAGTAATATATTATTACAGCAATAGGAATCATTGTGTGACAAAGGGAAAAGTTTGCTGCAAACACCATGAACACCATCAACTGTCAATGAACTGTAAAGGGAACTGGATGATACAAGTAAAACAATAAAGTAGAAAAGAGTAGGAAAGAATAGAAATGCTAAAATAAATAATTGATGCATAAATCCACTCCTAACAGTCGAGAGGAAGTTGACATACTCTGCTGTTACTGGTTTGCCGTCAGTGAGGCCGACCCCCTCTATGGTGAAGCTGCAGTCGTGAAGCAGCTCTGGTAAAGGGTTCAACAAGCTCATCTCTGCTGTCACAGACTGGTTCACTGTGGCTTCTCCCACCAGCTGCAGAGAGGTGTTCAGATAAACAGGCGTCATCATGTGAGAGATGGTGTAATATTGTCATAATAAACCTTTACAATTCAATAAAGGATTAAACTTGCCCCCTATAGTATATAATATATACTATATTATAAACTCACTGATCTGGTTCAAACAAATGATTCTTTGAGAACTGAGGAATATGCACATTTCTTTCCCCTGTCCATCATCCATACCTTGATCTCCATATCTGGCTCATCTAGCACAATGGTCTTCTCAGCTTTATGGTAATCTATGGTCTCCTTGTCGATGGTGATGGCTGCCAGCTGGATCAACCTGTCAGAGGTGATCGCTGATCCATATTGGTGATACTCCAGTCTGAGGGACAGGCGCCTCTCTGAAAAATGACACATATTGTATAATAATGTTATTAAACTATTTCTATGCAATTTTTAACATGACAATAGTTCTTGTGAGATCATCAGATTTGCAGCTCAGATATTGTGGTGTACAGTGTTTGCACTACGATCAGAGCTAACCTTCTCCAGGGGGGACCTCCACTTTATCTGAAGCATATCCACAGCTATCTCCTTGTTTTCCGTTGTAACCGACAGCTTTGGCAAAGAACAGGAAGGTGCAGGTCTTCGCCTCCATGTAGTTGTTAGTGAGGACGGCGTACACCTCAAAGTCCGAGCCCACAATCATGTTTTCAGCCAGTTTGATCTTAAATGAGAATTACAAGATGATTTGTTTCATTTAATTCATGAACGACTTAATAATATAAATGCATTACTATATTTTATATTTCTAATTATTGTGTACTTTTTTCTCAAGTATGTTGAAAAAGGGTTAGGGTTAGGGGTTAGGGCAATATGTTGATATTATATATCATATTTATACTTTATATTATATTATTATTATTATTATTATTACTATTATTATTATTATATAACAATATATAAGATATTATCTATTGTATGTATATCTTCTTGTATAGTCAAGTATCTATTATCAGCATTTGCTATATATAATATCATATCTCGTGTATAATAATATATGTGTACATATTATATTAATATGTATATATAATTACAGTATGCTATGTATGCACACCCTTGACAGCTGAATATATGACCCATGTTTACATTATATCAATCATCAATCAAATCTTATCTAACTATCTATCTTATCTATCTATCTATCTATCTATCTATCTATCCTATCTATCTTATCCCTATCTAAAAGATGAGTCTCTGATATTACAATACAATTAGTAGAATAAATTAATCTAATCTAGTTAATGCAGCAAGGCCATTAATACATTAAATAGATGAATTCATTTATCTCCCTGAAGGAGACACTTAATGAAATGTTTAACTCTAACCTTTATGTAAACAAGACACCATGCAAACACAAATGTGGCTCATATTATGTTGCATGCCAGCATGCTGTTGCACATGTGGTTGCCAGTATTTAACAACCACATATCATGCCTATCACTGCAGTATTGGTCATTTTCAACTTGTGACCATTGTTCCTTTTTACTGCCACAGTTACTGTTTGGCATATGTTTGCTTTTTTTTTTGCAGTTCCATTTGACACATTGGTTTGAAAACTCACTACATCATGTACACTTTCTATATGTGTGAAGAGTAAATAACACCTTGAGATGAAGCCCTGGCTCTTCTCCTCGCTGCTGTAGCTTGTTGTGGTGTTGAGCTTTCTCATAAACCTCCCTCTCCTCCTTTGTGCCTGAAAACCATCAGAATCCCAAAAAGGACAACAATTTAGTTTAAGCTCCTGTGTCAAATACACACAGTCTCCTTAAACATATAGATTTACCATCATATAGATTTGATAGACATGGACACTTGGATCCATAAAGTCACTAGTATTGGTACACACATGTGACTCTGCAGTACCTTCTGGATACTTGTACTGGTGTGTGATGTCGTGTCTATTATTTGAGCCCACAGCTTTGGTGCTGATGAAGCGTCCAACAGACTTAGTTGATCCTCCGAAAGTGACAAACTTCCCATTTGAAAGGCGCACCATGTCTACAACATCTGCATTAACCTGACTCCATACACAACATGAGATGACATGAAATAATATAATTATGAAAACAGGCACGACAAGCACTTGACGCAACTTGTAAAATAGATATTTTTATATACATAAATGCACAAACATAGTATCTTAAATATATAATATATAATAATAATATGTCCATTATGTACATATACATACAATTCACCAGTCTCTGTTTGGTGTGTTAAGCATGGATCAAATCTTAAGTCCAACTTAAATTTGTACCATTTTCTGTGTGTTTTTCTTTAAAATGTTGCACTAAAAGGTTCAAGCAAAAACTCACCTCAGCAAAAATAAAGGGAGCATCATACTTCTTGGTCAGCTCTCCTTCCTTGATGGCCCTGAGTGGAGCCGGTCCGCAACAGAAAACACCTGACAGCATCACACCCAGAGACAGGCTTAATTTCAGCAGGATTCACACACACAAAGCCTTGTTTCAGGCCATGCAAGTCATTCAAGTAAGAAAATAAAATACATGCTTATGCAAAATACTTTTGGTGGAGTAGAATATCACTTCCAAAGAGAATAGGCAGGTGAAGCATTTTAAGAATCCACCTGTTGTTTTGCAGTCAGTACCTTAACCTGTTGAACCCGACGGAGCGCTACAATGTTTTACTGCCCGTAAAAAGTTAATAAAACGCTGTGGTGTTTTTTTTCTTCAAATGTTTAAAGACAAGGCTTCAACTCTACCAAAACAGCAGTCCAAGTGTATTTTTCTCAAACACAGTTTGTTTGGCAATAATGTAAACAATGAACTAAAAAAAGAACAGCACTCGTGAATATAAGGGGCAGTGGAAAGAGAAACCGCACGGCCAGCTAGCATCACATACATTATCCGCTCGCTCCACTCAGTCATGTTAGGTGTCAAATGAAAACTAGAGAAGCTCATCTTTCTGCTGATCCAAGCAAAACATAATCCGACCTAACCAGCTCATGTCAGCAGCGAAGCAAAGACGCAGCAAAACTTAGCGTTTATCGTCAAAATGTGAAATTCTGTGTTATAGTCTCAATATTCCCATCAAATAACAAAGCAATTGTCATCAACAGTGAAAATATTGTTTCCTTACCCTTTTTCTGGTCATTTTGAGTGTAATCTCGCTGCTCGATTATCAAACACGGTCTTTTTGCTTCCACCCTTATTTTTGGTTCCCCCGTGTGTCTGGTATTTCAGAGTTATGACACTGCAGTGATATCTAACATATGCGATGCTTTCAACGAGGTGTCACTCCCATGAACTATTCGTCTTTACGCATTACCACGATCACTTTCAAGTATTGTAGTTTTAGTTAAGTTTAGGTAGTTTTACGATGCGCCTGAGAAGCAAACAAAAGATTCAAATACTGGAGGCCTTGGACGAAATCCAGATTAGTTTAGCGGCAGCTAGTAACGAAGGGACTCGGCACAAAGCTGGCGGCGCCGGACTTTGAAGTTTTGTTTTCTGTTGCTATTGCGTTTTGATGGCATGTTATTTCACAAATCTGATATTTTACTTTATTTATTTCATGTTAGTGATTCTGTTTACTATTATCAGATAGCCTGAAACATCTTATTTTTTTCCCTTTCACTACGCTCTCACTCTTGATCAGCTGATCCTTTAAAGGACGATCGACAAGATGGCGGTTTTTTTTCACCTTTGACCTTTCACAAAAATCTGATTTTTAACCTGTTTTATTTCATTACTCATTTGGAGACAAAAAACAGTTTAGGTTGTTGTCTTATTTAAAAATTTATTTTATACTGTGTACCATGGAGTGTTGAATGGGCCACAAGGTAATTTCATATCCAAAGCTCCAGTAACCATGGCAATAGACTCCTGTAATAGGACAATAAGTTGTATTTTCCAGCCAGTTTCCTTTGGAAGTGAAATAACTATTTGGCACATTTTGGTTCCCAACTGTGCCCAAATCGTGCCAAATGAACTGTCCGCCTGGTCCATCCTACTAAACCTTTGTGGAGGCTTTGCCCTTTGCTCAATTTCTATCAAATTTGTAATTTGTAGTCAAGGATTTGCTGAAGGTGATTCAGTGCATCGTCCGGTGCTGGAAGTTACTTGTTAGCATGGATTATCCTCTGTCAAATAGGGGAAAAAAATCAGCCGAGCGTAGAATTTCAATTTCTCCTTTGCCTTTATTCGCAATTTACTCAGGTATACATAACGACAACCTATTTCTGACACTGGGAATACTTCCCTGAAGTCCCTAGATGTCCCACCAGACCCAAGGAAATCCATATGAACTTAGAATTTGGAAGCATATTCCATTTTAATTGGTATGTCTTTTAGGCGTTTTTTTTTCTAAAATATGGCTAGGGTTTAACAGGTT